TTAAATAGTTTTCAGCACAAACAGCAAAACAATAATAGTGGTAAATATCTGAGACAAACATGAACGATTTACGAGTGCAGGAGGAAAGCAACAAACGCAGCTACGATTCAAACAAAGACAGGAACAGTGCAAAACAAACGCAGCTACGATTCAAACAAGACAGGAACAGTGCAAAACAAACGACTGAACAGTTTATAAGTTATATATATGTTAGATAGTCCACAGTCTCCTGTATATCAGGCTCTGAGCCCAAACTGCTTGTCCTTCGAAGCGTGAAGCAGTCTGCTCCATAGAGCTTCCTCCATGTCCCTCATGGAGCGACATGCTTCCTTCCAATACACACACACGGACCAATCACAGCGGAGATTCCTTGCGGCGACCCTTACGTAGTTAGAAAATGTCGATGCTGCAGGGCAGGCAACGTAAGGGCCTTGCGGTGACCAACGCGTTGCGCAAGTGACGTCCCGTCACCTCCGTAAGCTCTGCGCCGCGCGAGTATAAACTAGGCTTTATGTCGCCTGCCGAAAAAACGCATCTGCGCATGTGTCAGCCGGCGCAGCTCCATTCATTTGAACGAGAGACTTTATAAATTCACAGCAAGTAAACTAGAGTGGACCAAAAGAATTCACCCCCCTCAGCATTGACACACATGTGGAACGGAGCTTTGGGCCAAGAGCCAACTTTTGGACCATCCTGTAAAGACGTTTTCGAGAGGTCTGCCAATGCTACAGTGGGGCAAAAAAGTATTTAGTCAGCCACCGTTTGTGCAAGTTCTCCCACTTAAAATAATGACAGAGGTCTGTAATTTTCATCATAGGTACACTTCAACTGTGAGAGACAGAATGTGAAAAAAAAAAATCCAGGAATTCACATTGTAGGATTTTTTAAAGAATTTATTTGTAAATGATGGTGGAAAATAAGTATTTGGTCACTTCAAACAAGGAAGATCTCTGGCTCTCACAGACCTGTAACTTCTTCTTTAAGAAGCTCTTCTGTCCTCCACTCGTTAACTGTAGTAATGGCACCTGTTTGAACTCGTTATCTGTATAAAAGACACCTGTCCACAGCCTCAAACAGTCAGACTCTAAACTCCACTATGGCCAAGACCAAAGAGCTGTCGAAGGACACCAGGAAAAGAATTGGAGACCTGCACCAGACTGGGAAGAGGGAATCTACAATAGGCAAGCAGCTTGGTTTGAACAAATCAACTGTGGGAGCAATTATCAGAAAATGAAAGACATACAAGACCACTGATAATCTCCCTCGATCCCAAGATCTCATCCCGTGGGGTCAAAATGATCACGAGAACGGTGATCAAATATCCCAGAACCACACGGGGGTCCTGGTGAATAACCTGCAGAGAGCTGGGACCAAAGTAACAAAGGTTACCATCAGTAACACTACGACGACAGGGAATCAAATCCTGCAGTGCCAGACGTGTCCCCTGCTGAAGCCAGTGCATGTCCAGGCCCGTCTGAAGTTTGTCAGAGACAAACTTCAGACGGGCCTGGATGATACATGGATGTACAGTAGAGGATTGGGAGAATGTCATGTGGTCAGATGAAACCAAAGTAGAACTGTTTGGTATAAACTCAACTCGTCGTGTTTGGAGGAAGAAGAATACGGAGTTGCATCCCAAGAACACCATACCTACTGTGAAGCATGGGGGTGGAAACGTCATGCTTTGGGGCTGTTTTTCTGCTAAGGGGACAGGACGACTGATCCGTGTTAAGGAAAGAATGAATGGGGCTATGTATCGTGAGATTTTGAGCCAAAACCTCCTTCCATCAGTGAGAGCTTTGAAGATGAAACGTGGCTGGGTCTTCCAGCATGACAATGATCCCAAACACACCGCCCGGGCAACGAAGGAGCTCCGTAAGAAGCATTTGAAAGTCCTGGAGTGGCCTAGCCAGTCTCCAGACCTCAACCCTCAAATACTTATTTTCCACCATAATTTACAAATACATTCTTTAAAAATCCTACAATGTGAATTCCTGGATTTTTTTTTCACATTCTGTCTCTCACAGTTGAAGTGTACCTATGATGAAAATTACAGACCTCTGTCATTATCTTAAGTGGGAGAACTTGCACAATCGGTGACTAAATACTTTTTTGCCCCACTGTAGGTCGTGTATAGTGCGCTCATAGTTGTGCTCAAGTGTCACCGAGTTCTGACTTTTTAAAGTTGAAAACAGAGGGTAAACTTTCACAATGAAAATGTGACTAAGTCATTTGACTGTTGTTCACACTCAATGGTGTCAGGACTTATTATTTTGACTTCACTGACATGGAGACTTGCTTTTGAGGAATTCACTTTTCATGTTGAGAAGGTGAAACACTTTTGCAGGTTATCCACCAGGTTTTGCAGTTTGCACTAATTGTTCTGAGAAATGCACTAACTGTTGTGCAAACGTGAAGAGTGATGTGAAATATGCACCAAAGCGACTCCAGTGCAGTGTATTAGTAGTTTGGTTGTTATAGGACAGTGGTGATGATCCAGGACATCACCATCTACGGACCAATATGGCTCTGTTTGTTATTATTGCATTTTCTGTGTTTGAACTGATTGATTCTCTAATTTGTGTTGGCGAATCAAAAACATTTTGGAGTCCCCAAGAATACTGCTGTTGTGATTTAGAACTTACTATTCAAAATATATATAGTTTATTGCTCTACTTGCATGTTCATAATCCAGATCTAAAAGTCTGTGCCCCTTTATATTGACAAATGAACTGAAGAAATAAACAGTGATCTGCATTAGGACACAAATTTACATGCAGTATTTTAGGAATCTAGCCTTTTTCTCCGCCTGTACCCATGTGCTTTGTGTTTGGCTCCCTCTGGTGGACAGATGTGAGAGCAGCAGAGCTTTTGAAGAAGAGGATTACTCTGATCATGCACTGCTGCGTGACCTGCAGATCTTAATCCATGTAGATTGACACGTTAACTACAGATATACTCTCTCATAATGTGACCTCTGAGTCCGTAACAAAAGCAACACAATATTTGTACTCTGGTATGAAGTACATTTTTCCATCATCTGTCCTTTACTAGACTTTACTTTTTGACAACCTTTTTACTTTTACTCAATTATTTTAAACCAAATCACTCAATTTAATGTATTTTGTATCGCCCTAAATCACAACAGCAGTCGTTTTGTAGGACATTACAAAGTTGTCGATACCTCAAGAACAGATCAGAGAATCAAACCGGTTGGACACATTGAATACAATAAAAACACACACAGGAGCCATTGTTCTTAAATCTTAATAAATGTTCTTAAATGGATCCTCACTGTCTTTAGACCCTCCTGCATCAGAGAGGAATTTAGGATTTTATTTTTTTTAACATGGAAAAAAGTGAAAACTTAGGCTATAGATCCAAGACTGGTGCTGGACAATCATTGTGGTTAGCCATGCTTCTAACTCCACTGGGGTGTAGGCAAACGGCTGCGTTCCGATGATATATTCCATGCCAGTATCAAACACAAAAACAGCATAATTACATTTGCAAAGTGTTAACAACCGTTATTATACAAATGGTGTTTTCAGATTCTTCCAGTTTCTTCTTGAAAATACAAATTCTGTTTTTGCTCATTCATCCTGTGAATAAAACACAAGGATAAATACTATAAAGGCTCAAAAGTAACAAAACAATCATTTTTTTATTATTATTATTTATCCAAAGAACAAGTAAAATACACAGATTTCCAGGTGTGACTTTTACATAGAACAGTGTATGATGTGTTTTCAGTTTCACTCAGATTAGAATAGATCCTTTAATTATCTCAGAGAAACGAGTGAGGAGCACACGACACAAAATAACTACATATTATGCATATAACTCTGCTATTTAGCTTTACAAAGAAACATGTATGAAATGTATAAATATCTATACTTTAAAACAAATACTTATGTTTAAATCTGAAGATAAATCTAATACATGCAAGTGCAAGAACATTGAAGTAGTAGTTATTAGCTTTGAGGGTTTAAATATAAAGTGATGATACTACTGTACATGTTAGCATGAGTATGATAGTAGTATGTGATACTACTGTACATGTTAGTATGTGATACTACTGTACATGTACAGTACAGTAGTATGTGATTCTACTGTACATGTACATGTTAGCATCATGAGGCTCTGGGCTTAAAGTGACTAAGTGACAGCGGACACAAGTGAGCCTATATTGCACATTCTGACATTATTGCACAGGTGCATGACATACAAGGTCAGATTGTTGCTGTGCATAACTCTTTACTGTTCGTTGTACAGTCTGACAGCAGCAGGCAGGCCAGACCTGAGGAGCCTCTCAATTACACAGCAGGATGCATCAGTCTGAATTCATGTCGTTAAAGTAGATTTACACAACACAGAGATGTTATGTAACAGAGCAACACACTGTGGCGGCTACACACATTTTATTCATTCAAGCAGAAAATATACAACATTATATACAATAAGTATTAACAAAATTTACTTTCCTCACGTTTATGGTGACACTTTTGTACATTGTTCTGTTGCACACGCGCACACACACACACACACACACACACACACACACACACACACACACACACACACACACACACACACACATATATATATAAATAAATAAATAATTCGTTTCACCATGTGTAGGAATATCTACAATTTTAGTCTATTTACAGAGAGAGAGAGAGAGACCAGAGAGAAATACACAATCAGCAGGTTGTAAACTTGGGGCAACACATACAAAAACAACCAAACTTCGACATGACAACCCCACCCAGTTGTATAAGGGGGGGCTCCATTGGTCTGCGCGCGTGCAAATCCTCTCTCCGCTCAGGGCCTCTTCCCATTGGTCCATGGTGACGACAATCCCACGCCGAAGTCCCGCCCCTCGATCGGATCAAGTTTGAATGAACAACAGCAGCCTGATCTGGAGCTGCTACAGTTGCATTTTGCGGTAATTCTTGGGGGAAAAAGTGTGCATTGGTACCGGGGCGTGAGGAGGCAGCATGGACATGAAGAAGAGGATCCACCTGGAGCTCAGGAACCGCACTCCGTCAGACGTAAGTCGCGGGTTTGACTCCCGTTACACCGCTATACCCGCTAATGGAGAGAGCCTTTCGTATATGTGTGTGTGTGTGTGCGTGAGTGATGCCTCTCTGCGTGGGGAAATGCAAAGTTTCTTCCCAAGTTGACAAGATTTGGGACTTGTTTATACATCACAGGTAACGAGACGGGATCGGACGGCTGCAATAACGACAGAAAGCGACGGTCTTATGATTTATTTTATTTTTATTATTATTTTTTGTTGAGAATGCAGCAGTTTATAAACAAGGAGCACGCTACAAAGCTGTCGAGACTGTGCAATGCAATGCAATACAGATCGCAGTGCATTCCTACCGCATCCAGACCACGTATACATCTATTCTGCTGTGTTTACATATGGCTTTGACACATATCGCATTATCACGCCGTGCACTCGCAAAGTCAACCCCTATTCCTAAACAAAACGCCTGAATTGTCACGAATAGGCCATTACTGTTGTTAAAAACCGATACTATTTCAATGACGTCGGTGATCGGGCAGTGCTGTCAGGCTCGCACCCGAGTTCAGTGCATGCAAAGGCCGCAGGAGAGACTGCATAAAACCCCTCGCCGTGGTTAGACTATCTTTTGCATAGTGATCTTTGCATCGCTGGGTTGCACATAGTCGCCTGGCTTCGTGTGTGTGCGATCCATTCCCCGTGTTGTTGTTCCAGTTCTTCGTAACTAGGACAAGCCGCCATTTTACCCCCATAACAAAGACGAGAAAGAGCGAAACCCCCGTGTGTATCCCACCCTAAATAGATCCATGAATCCAACCCCTCCAAAAAGGAAAAACCACGACGGCTTATTCATTCACAGCACATTACCTTCTGCACCAAAATCTCTCCACAGCCCTAGTGTTTTGCTCGAGCAACAATGATGCAAAAACAGCTTTGCCTGGCAGCTATAAAAGGCTCTATACCGCCCCTCCTACTCCGCGAATGACCCAGTGCACGACTCGTAGTAGCGCGGTGGATGGATCTCGCCTTGCAGAGAATCGCGATATATTGTGCACAGTGGCGTTTGCAGCACGGCGTTACTTTGCTCACAGTACGACGCGTTTAAAGTCGCGTTTATGTGTTGTTGCAATGAGCCGTCTGGATTGTTATCGAGGCTGTTTTTTTTTCCTTTTTTTCCCCTCCCCTCTCTCGCTCGTTCCTTTGCTCGCTGCTGATTGGTCGAAGCGGTTGTGGTCGCCTGAGCAAACATTTGTCTTTATATTATGCAGACATTAGGTCGTCGTTCCTGCAGGGTAATAATGGATCCGTTGAAAAGTACATCGGAGGATTATCCCTAATGTTTGGAAAGAACCGCACTCTCCACTCTTTGAACAAAGCTCTCTGCCTGGTGTATTTGACATATTTATCACCAGAATGATTGACAGTCAGGAGGACCAATAGTCTTGATGATCCACCCGGGAGTAGAAAATCCTCCTATATACACTTTTTGTAGTTTATACCACAGTGAGCGGACTGCGTCATCACGATGAGCTATCGTGTAAACGTTAATTTGTGGATCAATGAAGTTAATTTGAGTCCAAGTTTTAACGTTATTCCATCACAACAGAACACACGCTGTTTTAACACAGATAAAGAGATGTGAACCTATGATTTATCGACCTTCATCCAAATAAAAGCTTTATTATAATGTTATTAATGCAGCAGTTTATATCTAATAGTTACAATACTTAACAGTCTTACATAAAACTAATCAATTATGGAAATAGTTGTCAATTAATGCAGTAATCGGAGAATCGTCTAGAAGAGGTTTTTTTATTTCTAGATTGACTGCGGAATTAAATGAAAATGTGTTTGGAAACTATTTTGTCAAATCAAATAACTCAATTCATTGTTCTCCGGGGGAAACACTGGAGCATTGTTTTGGTCAAATGTAGAAAAAAATCTAAGATCTAAAACACTAACCGTTATCAAAATATTGTTAACCAGGTGGCCACTCTGGTATAGCCATGTTCCAGCTTCTTCCTGTATGCTTTGTTGAGCCGCAGGACATCTCGTTTTGCTTGGAGAGAAAACATGCACAGATCAATTGAAACAAATACTAAAATGGATTCATCGATAAGAAATTAATGGTTTGCTGCAGCTCTGCCCTTCGCTAACGGGCGTTCTGGTCTCACTACTGCCCTTTTGCACAAACTAAGATTGTGTTTCTCGTCCGCAGGTTAAAGAACTGGTGCTAGACAACTGTCGCTCTAATGAAGGGAAGATCGAAGGCCTGACGGATGAGTTTGAGGAGCTGGAGTTCTTAAGCACAATCAACGTCGGCCTGACCACAGTCGCCCACTTGCCCAAGTTAAATAAACTCAAAAAGGTGAATGTTTCTCCTCATTGTCTGAGCTTCAAGAAAAAAAAACGCCATTTCCATTGTTTCATCATCAAATGAAAGGAACATAATATATTTAGTTTATTTAGTGACATTTTTACAGAGTTCCATTTAATTTGGCAAGATGCGCAAGTTTTAACACTCGGACTCCCAGAATTCTGAAACTACTAGAACTGACGGAGCAGTACATTTTGATGGCGTTCATTCAAATAATAGGACTTCCTGATTCATAATTTTTGAGATTTTGGACTCTGTTTAACTGTCAAACTCCAGAATTCTAAAACTACAAGAACTGCGCCATTCAAAGAGAAATTCCCGAAAAAAGTGCGTTAGTTCACAAGGGTTTTAACTTCACTCACTTATAATAAATGCAAAAACTAGTGAATATAACTGTAATACAAAACCCCCCCAAAAAAAAACAGTTTGACAAAAACTGACCAAATGCTGGTTGACGTCAAACAGTGTGTTGCTATGGTAACCAGCACTCGCTCTGTTCTGGTGAAAAACCAAGTCAACATTTTACCTTGGAGAAACTACATATATTTCAAATGTAAAAGATAATTTCACAAAAATAAAGACCTGGAAATAATCTACATATAGACAGTTATGAAGACGAAATGTACATCTGTCTGCTCATGCTTTCACAACTAAAACCCTAAACTGGCGATTATCTGGTGTTGAAAGGCTTACAGCTATGGTAACTAGCACCTGCTTTGCTCAGGTGGAGCGACACATCACCCATGTGTTGTGACAAACTTATCTTAAACTGCCTTTTCCATTCCTCAGCTCGAACTCAGTGACAACCGGATCTCAGGAGGGCTGGAAGTGCTGGCAGAGAAATGCTCCAACCTCACGCATCTCAACCTCAGTGGCAATAAGATCAAAGACCTCAGCACAATAGAGCCTTTGGTAAGTCTGCGTCTGAACCAGCGGGGGCGGGTCCCGGCTCCAAAAGGTCCATGAGCATGTGTGCGTCATACTGCAATCTCACTCTAGGTCGGTGGGGGTGTACCCGGAAAGAGAATTACCCAATGCTTTTGTATGGCGTCTTCTTGCCTCTCTAAAACGTCTTTACAGAATGGTCCAAAAGTCGCTCTTGTCTCAAAGCTAAGTTTCAGATGCTGTCAATGCTGAAGGGAGTATATAGTTTTGGACCAGTCTGGTTTAGCCGCTGTGGACTTCAGAGGGAACTCCTTAATTGAATGGGGCTGGTTTTGGCTAATACATGCTCAAATGTGTTTTTTCACATTCTCCTGCCCTGGGGCCATTTTGAAAAAGCCCCACAGAAGGCGCCAGTGATGGCACATTAGTTTCAACGGCGGAGATAGGCGTGACTACGTCTGTTAATATTGACTATGATCCGACCACAGAGTTCAGCAGTACCCATAACCCCCGGGTCCACACAGGGCGACACGGGCTGGTGTGTCATTTACTCAGCCTTTAACCCACCTTGTGACCTAGTCTTTATGCCGAGGACTTGTCCCTCATTGTTTCCTTACCAATGCAGGGATGATCCAGGACATCTGTCGACGTTTATGTAAGGGATAATGTATATTACGTAGGTCATTATCGGAAAATAAGTACCGACAGGGCGAAGCGGACCCCGACGGGGCGCTATCCCGCTTATTATACGGCTTTGTACCAACAGAACACACAAAATAAACTTCAGTCCACTCTGATGAATGCCGAAAGGTTTATTTAATGACTGAAAATAAAATAGTTCCCAAAGGCTTTCCCGTGGCTATGTGAGTAACAGTTAGGCTAGCAACTTCCAAACTAGAACTTTCTCGAACTGCATGAAAACTGAACAAAGAATTGTGAACATCAGCGGTGAGTGACCCAAACAATAAACTAAACCTAAATCCATAATTCGATCCTCTGCAAATGTTCCTAAAATCTCCCGGAATCTACTCCCGGGTTTTTCTCGCATTAAGACAGTATTTTTGTCATGAAAACGTGAACAGATACTTCTGAAAACCTCTGTGCATGTGTATTAAGAATGTATTTTATTCTCCGATTAACATATAAACTTGTTGATTGATTGGTGTTTGCGTTTATTGAGCGTGGCTAGCTCCGGAGTGGCCGGAACTACTTGCGGAGTAATCTACACATCTGAATTACAAGCAGAGGGTGGGTTGCCAAAGGGCAGCAGTCATTATTGTTTTGAGAGGTCCGTTATCAAGAAATAATGACCAGTAGAACGTTTCGAAATTACATTCAAATCAATGGAGCGTTCTTCTGCTGTGAGGAGCCGTGTGATAAGGTTACACCTCGTTACACCTCATGTCTCATCATCCCTGTGGAATAATGCCTCTTGTGTTTGTTATTATTGTATTTCCTGTTTGGCTATACAATAATAACTTGATTTGAAGTGAATTTGATAATGCAAATCCTTGGCCTGGGTGCACTGCTCTGTGACTTTAGAAGGCTTATTTTGAAAGTCGGAAGTTAGTTATGACTACCAGTAGGAGTAGTTTTGAAACTCCTGGTTTATCCGTTCAAAACCTTTTGTTGGGCGTGATAAACTGGGTGCAAAATCTCAGAATGTGCAGTATGAAACCATATGTGTTGACTGTCCCTTCACTTGGCCACTTTGTCCGATACCCTCATGCTGCTACTGAGGTCACAAACATATATTTCTTACATTATACAGGATTTTATACTTGCTTCTTGTTGGAGATAGTATACAGTATGGAGTTCTTGATTCTTAATTACCCTAAAGCTAATGTTATTGTTCATTTACCTTGTGCTGTGTGCTCCTCATTCCTACTGTTCTGTAACTGGTGATGCAACACTGACATTTCCCCGCTGTGGGACGACCTAAAGTGTCTCTTCATCGTAAAATGTGCGACTCTTGTGTCCCTGTGATATGTCAAATCCTAAACGTGACCGCGGTAACTGCTCTCGTTACACCTCAGGTCTCCTCATGTCTCATTTTCCTGTCGCCTGTTTTCCTTCTGCAGAAAGAGCTGAAGACCCTGAAAAGCCTCGACCTGTTCAACTGTGAAGTGACAAACCTGAACGAGTACAAAGAGAACGTGTTCAAGCTGCTGCCACAGCTCACGTACCTGGACGGATACGACCGGGAGGACAAGGAGGCGCCGGACTCGGACGCAGAGGTGTACGCAGAGGGGCTGGACGACGATGACGATGATGACGATGGTAAGAGCTACTGAGGCTGAGTTTACACGGAGACAATGTGGCAGTAAAACGGTATAGTTGGATGTCGGTTGCTACCAACCGTTCATACGAAGACTGTGTTCCAGTGGGGTGAAAACGTAAGTGTTCAGATCCAGCCTGCAGAGTGCGACAACTCAGAAACGCTGCACAGCAGGGAGCTTTTTCACACCCGCGAGAGGGGAATAGGTGCGAAATCCCCCTCTGCTCTGACCCCCGCCTCCGCGCTGCTCCCCGCACGTAAATTTGGACATGCGCAGTAGCGGAGAACAAACATCAACAATAATGGCGCTGCCCACACAAACTAGCTACGTGGGCTTCCAGCGCGGGACAGAGGATAACTCTACTCCTTCGTTCGTCCAAACGAGACCACGCGAAGCTCTAGGTTCAGTTTCCATTTTCACAGCTGCTGTTAAAATGCAGAATGATGTTGGTGCGTTCTGAGGGTCTGGCACAGGAAGTGAGTACACTGCAGAGAGGGGGGCTGGGCACGGGGCTGGGGGTCGTGTGAGTGTTGTAAAGTTTCTCTGCCCACTACTGGCCGGGCGCTAGAACTACATCGTTTTTCAACCTCATGTGAACGCGGGGAAATTTGCATTAGGAGCCAGGTCGTTTCTGTTAATAGCCTGGAAACGTCTGCGCAGCGTCTCAGTATAAACAGGGCCTGACCCAGGCTATAGTCAGGGCACAGCAGGGGGTCATGTTGGTCAGGGGCCCAGCAACAAACAAATACGAGCCCATTAACATTATGAAGGTATTTTGACATTACTTTTATTTGGATTTACACAAAACTGGACCAAATATAAAGTTAAACATATTGTTTTATATACTCCTAATGATGTGTTGGGTTAAAATTTTAGAATAGTTTAAATGCATATAATTGTTGATCTGAGAAAATAGGTGATATATAACAGGCCAGAGTCGTCCATTACCATCAACCCTGCAAGTTAATTTTAATATATAAAAATCATGAAAATAGTCTTGCAGGCCGGATTTGGCCCACGGGCCTGAGTTTGACATACCTGGTGTACCAAGACCAGAGGTGTCCAAACCTATAACTAGCTCCCCAATCTCAAGCTCTTCCAAATATAAGTTATATAACCAATTATTCCCAGGACAGCTTTGTAAAGTAACTCTGAGATTTAGGGCTAAACAAAAATATCTATCCATCCATCCATCCATTTTCTTCCGCTTCATCCATTGCCGGGCGGGTCGCGGAGGCAGCAGTCTAAGCCGAGATGCCCAGACTTCCCTATCTCTGTACAGAAATATATTGAATTGACTTGATGTAGTGTGTTAGTCAATGTTTGGTCCTCTTATGAGTGTCAGGGGCATACAAGACATAAGAGGCCCCAAACCAGATTGTGGCGTTCAGGGCTAGGGCCATGTTGACTGGAAACCCTCCAAACGAAAACCTGGTGAGACAGAGGGAGAGAGGCTTTACATTGGAAGTGAAGCCGAAGAGGGTCGACCATTACTATTGGAGGCAGACGTACGAATGGTGCCACACAGGGACAGGTCTCTGACTGAGGCTCGGTCTCCATGTGTTTGTGTGTTTGTGTGTTTGCAGATGTAGACGAGGAGGAGTACGACGAAGACACCGCTCCAGGTGATGAAGAGGAGGAGGAGGGGGAAGAGGAAGACGAGGACGAGGACGACGACCTCAGCGGAGAGGTGAGAGCAATGAACGCACACAAGACCCAGATGCGTATTGGATCATCTCCTGTCTCTGTTACCGTAGTGATGGAACAATGTTGGAAATGTCTCTTAATCCCTGTTTCTCCCTTGGCTCTACTTCCTGCTGTGTGCGTCAGTTGTGTAGTGTTGTGTTGTTAGTCCTTTGTATGTAAACCCTGGGACGTCCTTCAACCTCTCTCTGTCATCTATTCCCTCTTCTAGTCCCTCTTCCACTCCCTGTCCCTCTTCCACTCCCTAGTCCCTTTTCTAGTCCCTAGTCCCTCTTCTAGTCCCTCTTCTACTTCCTAGTTCATCTTCTAGTCCCTAGTCCCTCTTCTAGTCCCTCTTCTACTCCCTAGTCTCTCTTCTACTCCCTATTCCCTCTTCTACTCCCCAGTCCATCCTCTACTCCCTAGTCCCTCTTCTACTCCCTAGTCCATCTTCTACTCCCTATTCCCACTTCTACTCCCTATTCCCACTTCTACTCCCTAGTCCATCTTCTACTCCCTATTCCCACTTCTACTCCCTATTCCCACTTCTACTCCCTATTCCCACTTCTACTCCCTATTCCCTCTTCTACTCCCTAGTCCATCCTCTACTCCCTAGTTCCTCTTCTACTCCCTAGTCCATCTTCTACTCCGTAGTCCCTCTTCTACTCCCTATTCCCACTTCTACTCCCTAGTCCATCCTCTACTCCCTAGTCCCTCTTCTACTCCCTAGTCCATCTTCTAGTCGCTAGTCCATCTTCTACTCCCTAGTCCCTCTTCTACTCCCTTGTGCCTATTCTAGTCCCTAGTTCCTCTTCTAGTCCCTAGTTCATCTTCTAGTCCTATAGTCCCTCTTCTACTCCCTAGTCCCTCTTTTTTTCCCTAGTCCCTCTTCTAGTCCTTAGTCCCTCTTCTTCTCCCCAGTCCCTCTTCAAGTCCATAGTCCATCTTCTAGTCCCTAGTTCATATTCTAGTCCCTCTTCTAGTCCCTCTTCTACGCCCTTGTTCCTCTTCTAGTCCCTTGTTCTTCTTCTAGTCCCTCTTCTAGTCCCTAGTCCCTCTTCTAGTCCCTCTTCTACTCCCTTGTCCCTCTTCTAATCCCTCTTCTAGTCCCTCTTCTAGTCCCTCTTCTACTCCCTAGGCCGTTGTCTAGTATGTCATCTAGAATGTTGTTTAGTATAATTTCTAGTATGTCTTGTAATACGGTGGCATCCACTCAGCCACCTGAGTGGATAGCAAGAAGGTCCTGCGTTCAAATCCCGGACTGAACAGGGTCTTTCTGAGTGGAGTTTGCATGTTCTCCCCGTGTCTGCGTAGGTTTCCTCCGGGTGCTCCAGTTTCCCATACCACTAAAAACATGTATAATAGATCTGGCATGTGCCTCCTGTACTGGCCCCGCTCCCATCTCCTGTGTGGAGTGAGAGACAAATGCCCAAAAATAACAAAAACCGCTTTGTGACTCTGGTTTGTGAAAGGCGGTATATAAATAAAGATTACTTACTTGTAATCTGTCTTCTAGTCCATCTTCTAGTTTGTCGTCTACCTTGTCTTCTAGTATGTCTTCTAGTCTGTATTCTAGTCCCTCTCCTAGTTTGTCCTCTAGTCTGTCTTCTTGTTCGCCTTAAAGATATTTGTGAAAGTAAACAAAATTAAATAGTGAGAATTTTCATTAGTGCGGGTCCAGCCACAGAGAATCACAATAACTTCTAATGACTGATAATGTTAGGGATATTAAAACCATATTTCTAAACCAAATACATTTGAATAGAATAAAAAATGCATTTAATCAAACATAGACTGATCATTTTGAATTTGGCGGCATCTAGTGATTAAATATCTCTACTGTCATACACACCTTGAAAGCAGTTCAGTCAAATTAGGAAACATAACCGCGGATGAATATATTTATGTTAGTATTGGGACATAACAGATATTTCTATTTGCCTTTAGTGGCCTCTAGTGGTGGAAGTTCTGTTTTGCACTTCCTCAGATAAATTCGAACTTATAGAAAACCTGTTAGAGTCTACTTTTATAAGAGTTTTTAAGTTTTAAACCATACAAATAACCTGCCTCTCGTTCGTCACTTGGGCTCTAACCAACTCTGTTCTGTGGCGTCAGGAGGAAGAGGAGGAGGACCTGAACGACAAAGAGGTGGACGATGAAGAGGATGAGGGTGAGTTCTTCGTCTTACACACATCCATGTGGGCGTTGTGTCGGTATTAGAACCCACTGTTGAATATGTGGTTCTCCAGTGTGTGCCTAGCTTAAAGGGGCAGGGCACAGAGCCATACAGCCATACTAGCCACGAGCTAATCACATGGATTTTATTACAGTTCTATAATTTATTCATTTTGAATCTGGAAACCAACTTGTGCTAATCACTGGTTTTTGATCAATATAGTTTGATTTTGAGATTTCAAACGCACTAAAGTTATAATTGTGTGTGTGTGTGTTGCAGCCGAACAGGGACAGAAGAGGAAACGGGATCTGGACGAGGAGGGGGAGGAGGGGGAGGACGATGAGGACGAGGACTGAGACTGTGCTCTGGAGCTGTGTTTTGGACTGAGCCGGTTCCCCAGCAGGCCCCGGGTCTCCTCCCACTGCTCTTTTATGTTCCTGGCCAGTCACAGAGGGGCTCGTCCGCACTGCAAACCCGGCACCCGCGGCCCGCTTACAAGCACTCGGATTCAGACTGTTGCGTGTGACTAGGATAGACGTATTTGCTTATATCCTTGAATATTCCACTGGTTTGATGACGTTTCAGACGAGAACTCAACTTTTTTTGAGTTTCAACATTTTGCTGTATGAAAAGTGTTTTTAGGATATTGCTACACAAATTATTATACATTTTTGTAAACTTGTAAAAAAAACTGGTTAAAATCAGAATCCAAGTGGAGTGTAAGTCAGCCATTTTGCAGTGCGGAGAGTTCGCTGTTCCCGTGTCCCCGTCTTTTCAGTCCAACTCGAAACGCGATGTTGTTTTTGTAAAATCCAATATTAGAAAACTTTTTGAAGAGTTTTAGTTTGTCTTCTCACCGATCGGGAACGAGGAGTTTTGACCTCTCAAACCCCACACGAGTGCGCACGTTTACGAGTACGTTTACAAAACAGCGAAAACCGGATAACTCCCCAACTCCCATTTATTTTGATTGAACAAGACCCCTGTAAAGACAAGGCTAACATATGTATTTTTGAGCGCAGAGAAATCCATCTTTGAAAGCGCAGCACAAGGCTCCATCTGGCCAATCAGATAAAGCCCTCACATGTAGACCTGCACCAGACCGGTCAGGCCGGTTTGGGAGCAATGTCGACTTGAGTCCAGTTCCGAGCGTAGTCCGCAGTCTCCTATTTTGTAAACGTACTCTCTTCCAGTTCAGACTCTACAATCCACGGGTGTGCGCCTCTTATTTCTTAACTTATTTTTTGCGTTATTTGTGTGAAGCGCAGCAGAAAGCCACCACTGCTCAAACAGACGACTACCTGGCTTCTAATCATTTGTCTTTTATGATTATTTATTTACCCCGTGACAATTTTCTCGATGTAGTTTTATACCTGGATCTGAAATCATGAAGAAATGCTGGTGTTGTAGTGTGACAAGGTTTCAATCTGGTTTTATTGATATATTGAAAAACCAGCACTATTTAAAATACACGTGTTCACACTGCAAAAAGCAATATCAGGTGTATTTGGAAAACATTTATTTCAATACTTTATTGAAATATTTTTTATGCAATCACACATTGATCATGACTTTAAGACTTTTTAATAGTACACAAGGTTTTCCTTTGGTGGATGGGGGTCCGGGGTCCACAGCCCGAGTCCCTCTTCAACCCGAGGGTCTGAATGCTTCAAACGTCACTGGTGCAAACATCACATCACTCTGCAGAAAACTTTTCAAAGACCTGGAGTTTTTATATCATAAAGTGAGGTTGCAGACGCTCACAAAAAATGCTACTTTTTTCTAAAATGATTTCAGTCTGTGTTCAGGACAGTACGTTCACAGCATTTTCAACATGCCGAGGTCCAAATCGGTGTAAGAAACTGTTAAAACCTTACATTGTGTAAAAATATGAATTTTGGGCTGACAGTTTTAGGACAGTTATTTTTACAGAAACTCATTCTGTTGGAAATATGCCACGTCTGAATACTTTTTTACGACTCGTATAAGACGGAATCCCACACGATGAACCCTCAGAGCATATTTTATTTATAAATGTTGCTTTGACTAACAGTTGTTTATGTTGCAAGAGAATAACATGATAGATCAAGTAATCAGCACAAAATGTGATAGTTCCATAAGTCACATGTTTTCGCCTGTTGAAGCCACATGTGACGACCAGCTCACGGAAGGAGTTAGTTTAAGCCACATGTGACGACCAGCTCACAGCAGGAGTTAGTTTAAGCCACATGTGACGACCAGCTCACAGCAGGAGTTAGTTTAAGCCACATGTGAGGACCAGCTCACGGCAGGAGTTAGTTTAAGCCACATGTGAGGACCAGCTCACAGCAGGAGTTAGTTTAAGCCACATGTGACGACCAGCTCACAGCAGGAGTTAGTTTAAGCCACATGTGACGACCAGCTCACAGCAGGAGTTAGTTTAAGCCACATGTGACGACCAGCTCACGGCAGGAGTTAGTTTAAGCCACATGTGAGGACCAGCTCACAGCAGGAGTTAGTTTAAGCCACATGTGACGACCAGCTCACGGAAGGAGTTAGTTTAAGCCACATGTGACGACCAGCTCACAGCAGGAGTTAGTTTAAGCCACATGTGACGACCAGCTCACGGCGGGAGTTAGTTTAAGCCACATGTGACGACCAGCTCACGGAAGGAGTTAGTTTAAGCCACATGTGACGACCAGCTCACGGAAGGAGTTAGTTTAAGCCACATGTGACGACCAGCTCACGGCAGGAGTTAGTTTAAGCCACATGTGACGACCAGCTCACAGCAGGAGTTAGTTTAAATGATTACAATTGATTATTGTATTATTATTATTGTTGTGTTGTGAGCATTTCAGATTACTGTAAAAACTGTGGCACCCCGGTCCCCATCACCTTCTCTCAAATCAAAATTTAAATCACGCCTTCACGCCTACATATTACCTTTTGCGGTGTTTGAGTACTTTTATAAAATACTTTGTAAGTTGAATGTAAAGGTTCAATTGGATGGCAAAAAGTAATTTGTCTTTTGAGAGTAATGCTGTCCAGACGGCGTTACTTTAAAGGCAACGTTAAAGCTGGGGTACCTAACCTACAAAACACAAACAATGGAACTCTGTAATAAAATCCATGTAAGTAAGTAATCCTTATTTATATAGCGCATTTTACAGACCAAGGGGCTTTACAATGTTCAGATATTGTTCCATTCTCTCCGCACGGTGATGACGGAAGCCAGACGCCGAACACACTGGTCCATCAAAGCCTCCGACCAAACACCATCCATTCACTCGTTCATTACATTCATACCTATTGTACATGTTCTTAGTGGTAGGAGCAACCGGGGCACCAGGAGAAAACCTACGCAGACACAGGGAAAACATGCAAACTCCACTCAGAAAGACCCTTTTCCGAGCGAGATTCGAACCCATGTCATTAGTTCCTGCCTCTAGCTTTCTTCTATCACTCGTTGGCTCATGCATTCAGCCTCATCTGTAGAGCAGCTTTTCAGACGGGAAAGTGAAGAAAAGAGGCGCACCCTTTCTCAGCCAATCAGCTCACAGGGCTCTTTCTCACACAAAATAAATAATGTGTTCTAACGGGAAGTAAAAAGTATGTTGTGGTTTTAAAGCTCACGACATTTTACTTTAAAAACACCCCTTCTGTAGAGAAAAAAACCTGTATTGAAAGAGGTTAGGTACCGCTGCTTTAACAAACGACATATAGGTGAATTAAAAAGATAATTATCTTAATTTGAGAAGGCAAAATACCGTGTTTGTAAATGTAGGTCATCTAAACTTGCCGGGGTGTAGTAGTTGCGTTTGGGCGCCGGCGTCTGCCCATATCAAAGCCCTCAGCCTCAGCTTCACAGTTCGGGAATTACGAGTTCTTGTAAATAATGACCAAATCTATTTTTTTGTATTCACTTTGATGGTGGCAGACATTTGAGCACCGTGAACTTGGAATTGTAACATGATGTTAAATAGCGCTTTACCGACGCAAGACGCAAACGTGGAATTTGTACGCGTCCCTTCTCTCCACGCCTACTGTCGTCATGACGATGCACAGACCAGATCGGGCTTGAATTGGGAAAGCTAATTCGATTATTCCACAGAGGGTCGCAAAAGTGTTCCTACAGCGAGAGCTCCTGCACATTTTGTCATGTTTTTTACGACCAAAAGCAAAAACATTTTTACTAGATATTTATATTTCCTCAAAGGCCACGGCAAAGTAACTAAAGTACGGTATTCGGTTCTTCGATACCAGACAATAGTAAGCTAGCCATGGTATTACCTTCACATGGTTCGACGGTATTCTTCTGTCTTCCGAAAAAAAAAAAAAAGCTAAGTAACTGACTGTGAAGTGGAAGCAAAATACATGTTATGAGTGCAGCTACGGGACGCTTCTAGATGTTTCTTGATGACTGATGCAATAATCTCTTGAGAAAAGCTGCCCCCTCTAAAAGACTTCAGGCTGTGGTGGATATCTCCTGACCGTCGCAGATTTAACATAACACCTTTTCACACAATGGGATGGTTTAAAACAAAACCTGTGTCAGAATGACCCGGTCCAGAGTCCAGGCCTAAATCCAAGGAGAAATCCGTGGAAATAACTGTTCAAACTCTCTTTTTTTTGTCTTGTAAGGACAAATGGGCAAAAATTTCAGTTGCAAGATGTGCTAAGCTGTAGAGTAGGGAGTTGGGGTTCCACACAGTATTCATGCAGGCTGAATGAACGCAAGCCCATTGTTTTTTTTAATGTATTTTTAATTTAAAATTCAAAGGGTATCAGTTTGCTTTCATCCAGCTTCTTTGTCGTGGTCTTTCAAAAGAGAAAAGAAAATCCTAAGTAATAAATTATTTGTTTAAGTAGATACAGCAGTCGATATTGGTCGTTCAATGTCGGGCGGTCTTTGAAACTGAAACTCAGACATGTGGCTGTAAATACTGGAGAATTAGTTCAGGTTTGTCATAATGTCAATAATAATAATAATGTTTCTGCTACGTGACTGAGCTGTGCAGAAGCTGAAGCGGTGCCAGCACTTTTGTGAGTCATATCCACGTATATTGCTTTTTGCGGTGCATGATTCCGTTTTATTTTATTATTTTCTGTTTCCCTCTCTTTTTTTGTTTTTGCGTGGCATAGTTTGAATATGTGGTAGTGTAGAGGAGATACATGCAAGTATGTTACCGAGGCAACGTTTGTGCATTTCAAAATTTTTATTGTTTCAAAGTGTAATCTCTGGAAAATATGGTCAAGTTCTTGGGAATATGTTCTCACTATTCTATGTCATGGTCAGATTGGCCTACCTCAGTGACTTCTCACTCTGTTCATCCCACTGTCATCAGCCAAAATGACGTTTCTTTTCCCTCGCGTTCAC